GAGCATCATAGAATGCCAATTTACTAGAAGAAAGTATTCTTGTGTTGAGGGAGTACTTGATTGGAGGCCCAATGTCCTTCTGCTACCTTAATACTAAATCTATAAATGTAGGCTCATAGATCTATTTCCCCCTTAAGGTGACTTTTAACTACAGTGTATCCTGGCAAACTTATATCTCCAGGCTGGACCTCAAACCCCATAATCATTTGCCTTTCAAATGCTTGCCTACCTACACCCCCAAACTCAAACTCACTGCCATTGAGTCGATGCAGACTCACAGCAACCCTGTAAGACAGGCTAGAACCGCCCCTGTCGATTTCTGAGACTGTAACTCTACAGGAGTAGACAGCCTCACCTCTCTCTCAGGATATATAAAAAGTATACCAAAGTAAAATGTCTAAGACAAGTTCAAAACGTCCTGTTTCAATGTATCCTCTCTCAACAAATAGCAACACCGTTCTAGTTACCCAGAAATCGAAGAATCCTCCCAGACTCATTTTACTCAGTCATTCCCACCCTAGGCCGGCCACCTCTAAAACCAAACTCACTGCCATGGAGTCAATGCTGACCCCTAGTGACCCTAGATGACAGGGTAGAACTGCCCCTGTGGGTTTCTGAGGCTGTCACTCTTGGTGGGAGTAGAAAGCCTCTCTCCAGAGGAGCATCTGGTGGTTTTGAACTGCTGACTTTGCAGATCACAGCCCAATGTGTGACCACTACACCACCAGTGCTCCTCAGTCAACTCTAGATAGTACTTTGAATTACTAATTATTTAATTCTCAAAACTCTGCAGCTTCACCATGAGAGACACCTACCTTCACCTCACAACTTGATGACAATTGTCTCCTAATTGGCTACAGTTGGCTTACCTACGCCTGCTCTGCCCAGCCTCCTGTCCACCACTATCCATTCTCAACTGTGCAGCAAGAAGATTGCTCCCACACATGGTTTTAATCATTTACCACTTAAAATTCTTAGCTTTACATTCCCCCTTAGAAGTTACAACTAAGTGAAGTTTAACTTGGGCCATTAGATCCCACACGGCCCTCCTTATCTTTGCTTATGGAAAATACCCTTTTTCAACAACAGAACAGATGAATATGCACATGAGCTTCTCCAGCTAGAGCACACAGAAAGCAAATGGACTACATCTGTGGGAGGAGATGGTGGAGCAGTTCAATATCAACAGCTCAAACCAGCCTAGGGCTGACTGTGGAACAGACCAGCGATTGTTCGTGTGTGAGTACAAGTTAAAGTTGAAGAAAATGAAAACAAAAGATTGAATGATGCAGAAAGCATCAAAAGATGCTGTGCATGGAAAGAATACACAGAAACACTGTAGCAAAAAGAACTCGTTGGTATTCAGCCACTTTAAGATGTACCATATGAGCAAGAACCAATGGTACTAAAGGAAGAAGTTCAAGTTGCACTGAAAACATTAACCAAAACCTAGGTCCCAGGAATTGATAGAATACCGATTGAAACATTTCACCAAGTTGATAAGGCCCTGGAAGCCCTCACTCATCTATGCCAAGAAATTTGGAAGGCAGCTACCTGGCCAACTGACTGGAAGAGATCCATATTTGTGCCCATTCCAAAGAAAGGTAACCCAACAGAACACCCCACGTATGGAACACTACCATTGATATCACATGAGAGTAAAATTTTGCTGAAGATCACCTAACAACGTTTGCAGCAGTTCATTGACAGGGAGTTGCCAGAATCAGGCCATATTCAGAAGAGGATGTGCAATGAGGATGTCATTGCAGATGTCAGACGGATCTTGGCTGAAAGCAGAAAATGCCCAAAAGATGTTTACTTGTGTTTTATTGATTATACCAAGACATCCAACTGTGTGGATCATAACACACTATGGATAGCTTTGAGAAGAATGTAAATTCTAGGAAAATTCACTGTGCTCATGTGGAACTTGTACACGGATCAAGAAGCAGTTGTGCAAATAGAACGAGGGAAGACTGCAAGGTTTGTAATCAGGAAAGGTGTGCATCTTTATAATCAGGTTTATAATCAGGAAAGGGTTGTATACTCTCACCATTAAATCTGTATGCTGAGTAAATAATCAGCAAATACTGCTGACCAAATATTCAGAGAAGCTGGATTATATGAAGAAGAATGGAGCATCAGGATTGGATGAAGGCTTTACTAATAACTTTACATATGCAGACAACAAAACCTTGCTGGCTGAAAATCAGGAGGGTTTGAAGCACTTGCTGATGAAGATTGGGCACTCAGCTTTTGGTCTGGATTGCAACTCCACATAAAGAAGACCCAAATTCTCACACCTTGACCAAGCAGTACCATCACTCACGATAAAGTGATAAAAGCTTGAAGTTGTCAAGAACTTCATTTTGCGTGGCTCCACAATCAGTGCTCTCAGAAGCAGCAGTCAAGAGTAAAACGATGCATTGCATGGGGTAAATCTGCTGCACAAGACCTATTTAATTATTTTAAAAATCATTTTATCGGGGGCTTGTACAACTCTTATCACAATCCATACATCCATCCATTGCATAAAGCACATTTGTACATTCGTTACCCTCATCATTCTCAAAACATTTGCTCTCCAAGTAAGCCCCTGGCATCAGCTCCTCATTTTCCCCGTCCCTCCTTTCTCCCCCCTCCCTCATGAACCTTTGATAATTTATAAATTATTGTTTTGTCATATCTTACACTATCCGACGTCTCCCTTTACCCACTTTTCTGTTGTCCGTCCCCCAGGGAGGAGGTTATATGTAGATCCTTATAATCGGATCCCCCGCTCTACCCCTCTTTCCCTCCAACCTCCATGTCTCCACTCTCACCACTGGTCCTGAAGGGATCTTCTGTTCTGGATTCCCTGTGTTTCCAGTTGCTATCTGTACCAGTGTACATCCTCTGGTCTAGCCAGGTTTGTAAGGTAGAATTGGGATCAAGATAGTGGGTGGGGAGGAAGCATTTAGAACACAAGGTCTCTTTAAAGTGTCAAAAACAAGGATGTTACTTTGAGAACTAAAGTGCACCTGACCATGGGATTTTCAGTCCCTTCATATGCTTGTGAAAATTGTATCATGAATAAGGAAGACCAAGGAAAAATCAATGAGTTTGAACTGCTGTGTTGGTAAGAATATTGAAAGGACCACGGCTGCCACAAGGATAAACAAATCTGTCTTGGAAGAAGTACAACTGGAATGCTCTTTAGAGGCAAGGGTGGTGAGACTTTATCTCATGTACTTAGGACATGTTCTCAGGAGAGACCAGTCCTTGGAGAAGGACCTCATGCTGGGCAAAGTGGAGGGCGATGGAAAAGAGGATGGCTCTTGACCAGATAGATTGCCACAGTGGCTGCATTGATGGGCTCAAACATAACAACAATCATGCAGATGGTGCAGGACCAGGCAGTGTTGTGTTCTGCTGTATAGTGGGAACCGACGCAACAGCAGCAAACAACAGCAACAGTGAGGACGACGGCTCCCTGTGTGCACAGTAGGAAACAGCCTTGAACTCTGTGGAGCAGACCTACTCTGCTCCACCAGCTTGTCCTCACTCGGTGTCACATCAACAGCAGCCATCATCTAACAACATGCTTCCAAAAAAGAAAAGGAAGAACTCTTACACACACACACACACACACACAAGCGATACTTCATTGAAATGACGGCTTTTCACTGAGAAAATGATGCGAGACTCACAATTTGGCAGAAACCATATGTTGAAAATTGGTATGAAAATGGAGACATAGATTAGGCAATATTTAACTAAGTTGCCATTTCAATGAGATGTGCAATGGCATTCAGTTCCAGGTGAAATGCTAGGCACTGGTCCTACACAGGTGAACATGACCCCGTCCTTGACGTCTTGAAGTGTAGTAAGAAAAAAGGAACACAAATAAATAAATACAATGCGATGTGGGGATGAAGTCTGTAAGAATCAGGAGTCTTTAAGAATCAGGAAATTCATACTAAGACCCTCTAGGATAGCCAGAGTAGTAATGAAAGAGTGTGTGGCTTAATGTCCATTTTCTCTAACATGATTCTGGGGAGATGCTGTTTACACTCTGCATAAGCACATTCCATGGGCACTCACTGCATATAGGCAGCAAACTCATTCCTCTCCTGGGTTTCCCTCAGGGTTAGTGAATTCTTTATGTTCCTGATGTTGAGCAACTAGATGGCTTATTCTTCTATGTATCTAATCACTAAACACCATCCTACCCTAAGGAACTTTAACCTCCCTAGTTTGTGACAACTAGAAAAATCAAAGAAAATGAAAAAGGTTGCCTAAAGGGGAAGATATAAAAATAAAGGGTCCAAAATCCATGTTTACATTATTTGTCTTCAATATAATTTATTTCTCTTTTCCTTTTCACTCTAGAGCCAGCAAAGTTCATCGTTACCAAATATGGGCAACGTTAATCAATTGGCTAAGACCTAACCATGAGATTGTGCCTTGGTATGCAAAAAGAATTATTATCCATGAAAATTACAGTGGAGCCACCTTCAAAAATGATATAGCTTTGATTGAAATGAAACCACTTCCCAACAAGAAAGAATGTGTGTTGACTGGTTCCGTCCCTGCCTGTGTTCCCTGGTCTCCGTATTTATTCCATGCCAATGATAAATGCATTGTGTCTGGTTGGGGTAGAGACAAAGGTATGTGGTTTATAATTTTTCTCAATGTTCTTTTAAAGTCTGGTGCAACTGTACACACCGAAACATTCGCTAACACAACAATTTCTACATTTACAATGCAATGACAGTGACATGCTATCCGGATGGTACAACCATTATCCATCTCCAAAATTCCCCACCGCCGTAGCATAAAGTCAGTGTCTCCCCAAACAAACACTCCATCTCTCCTCCTCCTTCCAACCTCCAACTCAACCATAGCCAAACCCTCTGCCTTCTGTCAACGCTGACTCATGGCGACGCTACACAACAGAGTAGACCTGCCCGGAGAGTTGCCATGGCTGTCAATCTTCACAGAAGCAGACTATCAAAGAGCAGCTGGTGAGTTCAAACACCAAGCTTACCACTCGTAGCCGAGCACTTTAACATGGCACTCCGCGCTCCTCTCCACTTCTGCTGACCATTAGTGTTCTCCGATTGCGACGTGTCTGCTTATTTCATATGAGATCAGACAGCATTTGTTCTTTGGTGATGGACTTGTCAATGTCATGCATGGAGACATTTCTTTACGGCTAAGTGACATTCCTCTGTGGGTCTAGATCACATTCGGTGTAGCCGGTCTTCTCTGGGTGGACATTTTGGTTGTTTCTCTATGTTGGCTGTTGGGTAAAGGGCTGCAATGAATATGGTGTACATGTTTCTGTTTGTAGGCCTGCTTTCACTTCTTTGGGTATACACCTGGTAGGCAAATAATTTCTTTCGGAAAAATGAATACTAGCTCAAGGAAGTGGGATTCAATAGGTCCCAAATGTCCATTATTGTCATTATAGGTGGCGTTGGGTCACTTTCCACTCATAGCAACCCTACGCAGAACAGATTGAAACACCACCTGGTCAAACTTACCCCAAATGTTGTACCACTCCATTTCCCTGATACCAACCACCACTCCGCCCTTTAGCACTTTCCCGCAGGTCAATGTTGAAGCATTTCAGGAGGTAGCATATGATCAAGAACCAATGGCACAGAAGGAAGAAGGCCAAGCTGCACTGAGGTCATTAGCCGAAGCACGGCTCCGTTCAGTTGAGTGCCAATTGAGACGTGTCAGCTCACTTAGGAGGCATGGGAAGTACTCAAGACTCATCTCTGCCAAGAAATCTGGAAGACAGTTACCTGGCCTACCAACTGAAAGAGATCCACATTTGTGCCCATTCCACAGAATAGAGACCCCACCAAATGTGGAGATTATCAAACCCTATCTTTAATGTCAGGGGCCCTGGTGGCATAATGGGTTGCACCTTGGGCTGTTAACTGCAGAGTAAGCAGTTCAAAGCCGCCAGCAGCTCCGAGGAAGAAAGAGGAAGCTTTGTCCTCCCGTAAAGAAGCCCACAGAGGCCGTTGTACTCTGTCCTATAGGCTCGCTCGGGTCAGAACAGACTCGATGGCAGTGAGTTTGAGAGTTTGTCATTAATGCCAAATGCTAGTAAAGTCTTGTTGGCGATAATGTTAAAAGGTTACAGCAGCCCAGCAATAGGGAGCTGCCAGAAGTTCAAGCTGGATTCGGAAGAGGATGTGGGTATCAGTCCTGATGTCAGGTGGATCTTGGCTGAAAACAGAGCATCCTGGAAAAATGGTTACCTGTGTTTATTTGACAAGGTAAACACATTTAGTGTCAATTATAACAAACTATGCATTGCCTTGAGAAGAATGGAATTCAGAACACTTAATTGTGTTCATGAACAACCTGTACATGGATCAAGGGGCAGTTGTGCAAACAGAACAAGGGCATACTGCATGGTTGAAAATCAGGAAAGGTATGTGTCAGGGTTGTATCCTCTCACCATATTTATTAAATCTGTGTGCTGAGCAAATAATTAGAGAAGCTGAATTATATGAAGAAGAGTGTGGCATCAGGATTGATGGAAGGCTTGTTAACAACTTGCAACAGCCTTCGTTGCTGAAAGGCAAGAGGACTTGAAGCACTTCCTGATGAAGATCAAATACCGCAGCCTACAGCATGTAAACAAAAAATCTCTCAAAGTCTACATAACTGGGCAATAGACAACTTCATGATGAATGAAAAAGAAGCTTGAAATTCTGAAGGATTTCATCCTACTTGGATTAACAAACAACGCTCACAGAAACAGCTGCTAGGAAATCACATTCAGAACTGGACCAGTCGGTAACATTGTAATCAGTAGAGAAAAGATTGAACTTGTCAAGGATTTCATTTTACTTAGAACCAGTCAATGCTCATGGAAGCAGCAGTCAAGAGCTCAAAACACATTGCATTAGGTAAATCTGCTCCACTAGATCTTTTTCTTTCTTTTTTTTAAGAACTTTTACTGGGGGCTCTTTTAGCTCTTATCGCAATCAATACGTTCACCCATTGTATCAAGCACATTTATACATATGTTGCCATCATAATTTTCAAAGCATTTTCTTTCTACTTGAGGCCTTGATATCAGCTCATTTTTCCTTCCCTCCCCACCCTTCCTCCCTCATGAACCCTTGATAAATTATAAATTATTATTTTCATATCTTATATCATCTGATGTCTCCCTTCATCCACTTTTCAGTTGTCTGTCCCCCTGGGAGGGGGTTATATGTCCATACTTGTGATCGATTTCCCCTTTCTCCCCTTACCTTCCCCTTCCCCTTCTGGTATCTCTATTCTTATTATTGGTCCTGAGGGGTTTATCTGTCCTGGATTCCCTGTTTTTTGGGCTCTTATCTGTAGCAGTGTACATGTTTTGGTCCAGTCAGATTTGTAAGGTAGAATTGATGTCATGTTAGTGGGGGGAAGGAAACATTAAAGAACTAGAGGAAAGTTGTATGTTTCATTGGTGCTATACTGCACCCTGACTGGCTTGTCTCTTCCTGTGACCCTTCTGTAACGGGATGTCCAATTGTCTACAGATGGGCTTTGAGTCTCCACTTCACGCCCCCTGCCCCATTCACATTGGTATGATTTTGTTCTGGGTCTTAGATGCCTGATACCCGATCCCATTGATGCCTCATAATCACACAGGCTGTTGTGCTTCTTCCACGTGGGCTTTGTTGCTTCTCAGCTAGATGGCGAGCTTAGGATCTTTTTAAAGTGTTGAAAAGCAAGGTTACTCTGAAGACAAAGATGCGTCAGACCCAAGCCATGGTATTTTTCAATCACCTCCTATGCCTGTGAGAGTTGGACACTGAATAGGGAAGACTGCCTTAGAGTGATGGTGCTGGGAGAGAATGGCGCTGTTGAAAGCACCATGCCTGCCAGAAGTACAAACACCCCTGTCTTGTGGACGTACAACTAGACCAATCCTTACAAGGGGGATGTCATCTCAAATACTTTGCAATGTTACCAGGAGGGACTAGTCCCTGAAAAGGGCAACAGGGTCAGTGGAAAAGACAGACCCTCAATGAGATGGACTGACACATTGGCTACAGCAATGGGCTCAAATGTAAGAATTGTGAGGGTGGCACAGGACTGGGCAGTGTGTGGTTCTGCTGGAGATTATCTAGATAGATAGATAGATAGATAGATAGATAGATAGATAGATAGATAGATAGATAGATAGATAGATATAGTCTTCATTAGAGTTTGTTATGTAAAAAAGCCATTTCACTCTAGCAAGCACCTTTAAGGAAACAAAGGATGTTTTTATGTGAGGGAACCCAGAGAGGAACTGATTCTCATCTCTGTCTTAGCTAGTGGTTCGATAACAGAAATAGCACAGGCGGTTGGCTTTAATGTAGGGAAATGTACTCTCTTACAGTTTAGAAGGCTAGCAGTCTGAATTCAAGGCCATGGTCCAGAGGCAGGCTTTCTCTCTGTGTCGACTCTGGGGAAAGGCCTTGTTCCCTGATTCCTTCGTGATCTTCATGAGGTGTGGCACCTCTCTTCCCCGTCTTTGTTCTAAGCTTCTCCTCTTCTGTCTCATGAGATTGATTCAGGACACCCTGGACTAACGCTGGCTCATTAACATAGCAAAGGAACCCTGTCCAAAAATGGGATTATAACCGCCCTCAGGTAGAACTCTTTGCCATAGCCTTGACTCAGACTCTTAGTGACCCCATAAGAGAAAGTAGAGTTCCCCCGGGTTCCCGAGATTGTGGGTCAGAGATGTCTCTACTGTCCGGGATTTGGTTAGGTTGGACTCTTTTACAGAAGCAGGTGCCCCTTCTTTTCTCTTGGTGCAGCTGGTACTTAACCATAAGCACATTTTGGGGGGACACGTTTCAATCCATAACCCTATCCAAATCCTCCATTGGACCCAGCAATCAGCAGGAAGGGAGCTTATTTTATTTATCACAGATTACACAGCTCTTTATTAAAGG